CCCAACCCCCAGCAGATGACATGGCAACCCCCCAAAACCTCACTGGGCTGTGGAAAAGTTACACTGGACTTTAAGCAACGTGGATGAAGTGGGGCCCCTTTCTTTTCCTCCCGACTCTGGGACCTTGATTTCCAAGGGAAAAGCAAAATTTACTTCATCAGGAGAACATGAATTTGGCCCCCTCACCAGCCCCCAAACCCCGTTTTCTTTAGCCCGGGAAAACGTTCTTTAAAGCTGCTGTGGTTCAAGAGTGGCTTGGGCACAAGGGAAAGCGACAGCAGAAACCCCTGTCCCTTTTAAACGTCTGTGTGTGGTGGTTTTTTAAGCACTCCCCTCCAGCTTTCAAATCCCACTCTTTGTGAAAAACTCCCCCCCATTTTTGAATTGGGGTTTTGTTTCAAAAATCCTCTCCAGGGTGCGGTTATCTCTCTTGTTGGTACACTTTTTTCGACCCATTCTTTTTCCCTTTCCCCTTTGCCCCTTATTAATTGCTTGGACACTGGCTCTGTGAAAGCCAGCCTTTTAACGATGACCCCTTTTTTGTCTTTCCCCCCCTTTTTGCAAGGGTTGAACCCCCATGGGCGTCTTTTGGACAACCCGTTTAAGTCAGCAGTTTCCCCCGATTTTTGTAGCCTATAGAAAATAGGAACTAAAAAAACCATTTAAAGGCTTTTGGGAAAGGGGGTTTAGTTTAATTTACCCGATTAGAGTGTGGCCCCCAAAGGGGCCCTCAAATTTTTAAACCCTTTTTACAAAAATTTTTAATTTTCTGATATGATGAATTTTTTGGGTTTTCATTTTGTTGTCATTTTGTAATCATCAAAAAAAAACAAAATAAACAATTTAAATAAAATGAAAATTTTTATGTAAAAGTATGAATATAAAATACAAGTTTCACTTTTTTTAAAAGGGAAATTTCTGAAAAAACAATCTACTTTTTCATGATATTTTAATTTTATGACCAGCACCTGTAAATTACACAATTATTTTCACATTATATATACACATATATCACATATATACACATATATTTTATATATACATTATACATAATATAACATTAAACACATTATAACATTTTAAAATATATACATTTAAAATATATTTCATATATCCTTTTACACAATAATATAAACTTTTATTTCAATATTACAAATTTTACATATATTTTCCCACAAATATAAAACACTACAAATAACACACCCCTTTCACACCTATTTTACACCTATATAAAACATTATATACACATATATACATTTTTTATAAATTTTTATACACATTATAAACATATATAAACATAAAATACACATATATCCCCATATATATACACATATAGACATTTTATATACTAAAATATACCCCATATATATACAAAATAATACATAAAATACACTTTTATACACATATATAAAAATATACATATATAATTTTCATATATATAATATTTAAAAATATACATTTATATAAATAAAATATATTTCATTTACATATATAAAACAAATATACTAAAAATAATACATATATTCATATACATATATATATACCTATATACAATAAAATATTATTCAAATATACTTTTATATACATATATAAACATATATATACATATATACATTATACATATTAATATATACAAAATTATACAATATTATTTTTATATTATATATTATAATATATAATATAAATTTTATAAAATTAAAAATTTTATATATTATACAAAATATATATAAATATATAATTTTACAATATATAATACCTAACATAATATATATATATATATAAACATATATAATTTTCATATAAAATATATAAATACATATAATATACAATTTTTTATATATATATACATATATATTTAAAAATACAAAATTTTTTAAAAACATATATATATACATATACAAAATATATAACATATTTATATACCCTATACTTTTATATATACATATAAAAAATACATATACATATATATATACTATATATTTACCCTATACCTTTTAATATACATAATATATATACATTTTCATAAAAATTTACATATATATAAACATTTACATTTTATATATACATATTTAATTTTAAAAATTAAAACATATATAAATCCATATAAAATACAAATATATATACATATATATACATATATATACATATTTTTAACCCTATATATTTACCCTTTAAAATAAATTTATTCTAACAAAATTTTACATTATATAAAATATAAATACATTTTATATAAAATAAATTTTTACATATATATACTATATATAAAACACAAATAAAACCCAAAAATATAATTTCATTAAAATTTTTATACTTTTATACCTTTTATATTACAACAACCCACCCACACAATACCGTTCCAAAGTTTTTGGGGGCCCCCAAAAAACTTAAAGTTGTAAAAAAGAAATTTGGAAAAATAGAGTCAAGACATTGACAAGGTTAGAAATAATGATTTGTGTTTGAAATAGGATTTTTTTACATCAAACTTTACATCAAAGAATCCTCCATTTGCAGCAATTACAGTATTGCAGACCTTTGGCATTCTACCTGTTAATTTGGTGAGGTAATCTGGAGAAATTGCACCCCACGCTTCCTGAAGCAGCTCCCACAAACTTGGATTAATCCATCCACAACGCTTTTTTCCAGTCTTCCTCTGTCCAATGTCTGTGTTCTTTTGCCCATCTTGATCTTTTTCTTTTATTGGCCAGTCTCAGATATTGCTTTTTCTTTGCCACTCTGCCCTGAAGCCCAGAATCCTGAGATTGATGTTGACACTGGTGTTTTGCGGGTACTATTTAATGAAGATGCCAGTTGGGGACCTGTGAGGCGTCTGGTTCTCAAACTATAAACTCTAATGTACTTATCTTCTTACTCAGTTGTGCAACGTGGCCTCCCACTTCTTTTTCTACTCTGGTTGGAGCCTGTTTGTGCTGTCCTCTGAAGGGAGTAGTACACACCGTTGTAGGAAATCTTCAATTTCTTAGCAATTTCTCGCATGGAATAGCCTTCATTTCTAAGAACAAGAATAGACTGTCGAGTTTCGGATGAAAGTTCTCTTTTTCTGTCCATTTTGAGCGTTTAATTGACCCCATAAATGTGATGCTCCAGAAACTCAATCTGCTCAAATGAAGGTCAGTTTTGTAGCTTCTGTAACGAGCTAAACTGTTTCAGATGTGTGAACATGATTGCACAAGGGTTTTCTAATCATCAATTAGCCTTCTGAGCAAACACATTGTACCATTAGAACACTGGAGTGATAGCTGCTGGAAATGGGCCTCTATACATCTATGTAGATATTGCACCTAAAACCAGACATTTGCAGCTAGAATAGACATTTACCACATTAGCAATGTATAGAGTGTATTTCTTTAAAGTTAAGACTAGTTTAAAGTTATCTTCATTGAGAAGCCTTGCCTTCAAAAATAAGAACATTTCAATGTGACCTCAAACTTTTGAATGGTAGTGTATATATATATGCACGTGTGTGTATTTTCAAGCCAGGCCAGAGGGGTGTGGGGGCATGGTATCAGAGATTGCATGAATGATTGAAGACTAAATTTGACTTTTAAAAACCCTATGCCAAACATAGCCAGAAGCGCATCTATATCTAGTGTGAACAAGGAAAGGAAAGCACAAACCCTTATTTTTAACTCCAATACCCAGTCAGTTATTGATGCTGGTACATCAGCTGTTACCGTAGCTCCCGGCAAACGTGTAGTGTGCGCGGCCGCACGAACAGCAGCACGATGACCAGGGTCTGATTCATGTTTGCGGAGTACCTTTGTGCCACTAGATGCATAACTATCCTTCCTGGAGCAAAGTTATGATATACATGTAAATATACTGCTGCTGAGGCAACGCTTTAAAAATTAGGCAGCATGCACGTTTTTGCTCCTCCTGCTGCTTGCAGTCTGAACGTAGCATTAGTTTCCCTCATCCAAATTGCAAAGCCAGAAAACCTCTTCTTTTTGTTAGTTCTTATCATCCTACAGGTCCTTACTCTGAATTTTTTCTGAGTTTTCAGAGTTCCCTTTCTGATTTGGTGTTGAAGACTGACAGGATCATCATAGTGGGGGATTTTACCATCCATGCTGAGATTGAAGGTGGTAAGTGCGAATGTGCAGCCTTTAATGCCATCTTCCCTACGCAAAGCAAAGCCTACAGCCTCCGCTATTCCTCAGGTCTGGCTGCGCTCAGACTTCCTTGGAGCTCGAGGAGAGTCTGTGCAGTATTATTCAATTCATAGGAGTGAAAAAAGTGAAATGAACACTTAATTTAATATGACATAATAAATAAAAAAAATCCCCACCAGCGTATGCACAGCTTCTGTCCAAGTATTTTCTTTTTGTTGTGGATTTTTGTAACGGGGATATCTAGGATCATCCATGGTTTTCATGAACTATGTTTGTTCTCTACCTCCAAACTCAGCATCTCTTCATCCAAGCCTGCAATAAGAAGTTTGTTTTGAAGTTGTGAGAGGTGCTCTTGGAAGACTGGATTTGATTAAACTTTTAAGCCTCCAAGAAATCGTCTTCCTGGTATGTTGAAGAACCAACAGTTTGCATCCAATAATTTGATTAAACGTTCTTAGTTTTTGGGAATATATAGGAATTTTGCTCTTATATGTAGATACCGATTTGTCGTTACTATATTTTAATTTGACAAACCGGATCTTCGCGCTTTTTTCCTGTTTGGTGCAGATCTTGACCTGGCCAGAGCGGAGAAAATATTTACTTTGCTCCGTATTTTGACGGTGAAGGACGGAGAAGACGTACGTGGACGGTGACATGCGGAGGAGAATGGGTGGATGTGGATCAGCTCTCGTGATTAACATGCTCATATACGTCGTATGGAGGACGTGCGTGGCCGAGCGCTGACAGAGGATGTGGAATCAGGGGGTTAGCTTAGCTTGTCTTCGTTCCCAATTCTCCAAATGGAACAGGGAGCTTCTGTGCTGCTAAATGTATGATTTGAGAAAGCCCCACAGCAGACTGGGGCTCTACCTTAGCTGTGGTGTAGTCCACCACCTTCTTGGTGGTCAAGTCACACTTGTTCCCCACCAGCAGCTTGTTGACGTTCTCGCTGGCGTAGCGGTCGATCTCCTGCAGCCACTGTTTGACGTTGTTGAAGGACTCCTGAGAGACAGAACACAGAGCTGTTAGCAGGTGGTTCCGGGCCAAACATGCAGACCAGTGTGCTCCCATAAGGCTACAGTCTGAGTCAGTTAAGTTCTTCAAAAACATGGCTGGGGAGACGAAGCAAACTGCATATTAATGATATGAGAGGAAGGGGAATAGATTGTTCTTGATGATGCGCCATCCCGATGAAGCCATCAGAAACAGATGCTACCATGGACTTTTGCGGACAACTGTCCAGTCATCACATCCTCGGTTGGCATCTGCTGGACTTTAACGGGAGCTTCATACCGGACGATGAGGAGCTCTGGACTAACCTGGTCTGTGACGTCGTAGACCACAATGATGCCATGTGCTCCTCTGTAGTAGCTGGATGTGATCGTCCGGAACCTCTCCTGGCCCGCTGTGTCCCACTGTGGAGAGCAGGACATGGAGAACATCAGAGACGGGGGGTTTTTTTGTGTGTTAAACCTCCCTAAGATCTGTTAACCAGATCCACCAGAACATGTTTATCCCTCTGTTCTCTACTCAGACTTTCTTCTCCATCAGGCCCAACATCTGTTCTGCTCCATCACATGTTAATCTGAGGATCCATGGCGCCCCCTAGGGTGCACCACCACAAATTACATCTTTTGGCACCAGATTCATTTCAGTTTATTCTTCTATAGATTTATGGTAATTCTTGCTCCATCCAAACAGTGACGTTTTTGACAGCCATCTTGAATTTAGTCAATGGTCGTTTCTTAATATGAGTACTTGTGCGTTCTCATGTACTCGTGAGACGTCATCAGCCTCAGCCCTAGTACTGGTCCAGGCTGAGAACGGACAAAGTCCCTGGATGTTGTTCTTGTACCTCCCTCTTTACCCAGCATGCACTGCTGCAGCAGCAGCAGCTTCCAGGTAAGCGCTCACAGAGTATTAAGTTATAAGTTCTCGTTTCTGTTGCCGTTGTTCGATAAAAGTACGTTTTCAGATAATTTGACGTGAGAACATTATAGGCGTCACAAAATCTTTACTTATATAATGATGCCAGAAACGAAATTTCAAGATGTGTAGAAGCTCTGCAGCCTCATTCCATCTGTTCAATAAGAAAACATGTTAACCTGTAAGTGGGAGTCATGGTCCTCTGAGACGCCCGGATTTTTTTAACTAGTAAAGAAGAACAAACTATGCGTTCTTGCATTATAATACTAACTTGTTTAAACTTACATTCTGTTGCCATTTTTAGCTGAAAAAGCTCCATATGTCACACAAACTGATTTTTCGGCAGCATCTCTAATTTTTTGAACCTCCTATCTGCTGGTTAATATTCACTGAGTGCTGCTGTGTGTCTCTCCTTCAACCACGTAGCTACTTTCTACAAATGCGACGGCAAATCAGATGTCTCAAAGCGACAGATCCGATGATGTTACATCGAGAGGCTGGACACAGGAGCAGCACGAGAGAGGAAAAAACACTGACTCAAAACGCTCTGAACACAGATAACTGCACCCAAATCTGTTACCTTTGACTAAAGGAAATGAGCGGAAATGGGGGAAAAAGCGGAGATTATTGGTGGGGACTGTCCACACCAGTCCTTCAGAAAGTTACGCCTGTGTCCAACGTGGCTACCACAGGTCAGAGTGGGTAATCAAGCCAGAACCACATATACAGCTTCACCAAAGCGACTAAAGCTTTAGGCTCCCTTTAAAGGTCAGAACACACCGAATCCATTATGCGTCCAACCCAACAGAAAATAATGTTGGAGGAGGTCGTGGCGTTTAGCGCTCATTGAAAGTCAATGGGGATAATTTCCTGCAGGGGGCAGTGTAGCTCCCACTGAGGGAGCCAAGGTCTAATTTAGTCAGACTGTGCAGCAATAGGGGGTTTTCAGGTGAAGTCACGCTCACGTGACTACTCAGCGCGTCCGCCATATTGGGTGGCAGCCTTAGGCAGTATTCACAGTGAAAAATGGTGAAAACGTGTGTAATTGTTGGTTGCACAGCCCGTGGAGGTGGAGATCAACGCTCTTTCTATCGCATACCAGCCGTAATCGTGAATCAATGTGAAAAAACAAAACAGCTATCTGAACAACGCCGTCACCTATGGCTGACACGGATATCCAGGTCCGATTTGGACGGTGTTAAGCTGGAATACGCCAGAGTCTGCAGTGCTCACTTTGTCACAGGTAATTAACTGTCAAGCATTTAAAACATGTAAGAATATATTAATAATAGGGCTTGGGCGTCATGACGTATTACTTTCCGTGGCCGCAATGTTGACCGTCTCCGCCGCCGCTACTCAGGCTACTGCCTATGACTACCACGTACTGGACTCCCTCTCTCAGCCGTGTTTTAATTTGATTAATTTCACCTTAATTTGATTTCAACCAGCGGGAAAAGGCTCAAATATGTGAGAAACCCGGAGGGTTTAGGGACGTTTGGCAGTTAACATTACTAACCAAACCTTTGAAACACATAGCAGCTAGTTAAAAGTACATTACATGCCTGAGTGGTTGTTAGCACTAACGGTTAGCACTGTTTGCTGGCTTTATGAGCTGCAGCTCCTGAACCCATCCATTCGTAAACTGCACATGAGACTCCAAGGACTTGTAGCTTTGGAACTGTTCGCGCACCGCCGGCCGTTAGCCACCTAGCATAGCGAGCCCTGCGTCGGATTGTTTACATTTTTACCATCTTATTAAAACTCACCCGTCCACGTATGATGGCGATTTCCTTCATGTACATCACTTCGACATCTCGTACCCAACCAGATGTGAACTAGTTGTGAGCCTCTAGACCCTTGTACGCTCTCATTTCCTCAAGAGTGTGCAGAGGGTTTTCACTGAACAACAGGTAATGAACTATGTCGCCGTGCTCTACATTTGGCCAAACATCTGGATTAGTGCTTAACAAGGCACCGTGGAGGGCATAGGGGTCCATATGGTCGATCACGGAACATTTCCTCAGATATGTTCCATGATCTGGTGGCTCTAGCGTGCTGGCGTACTTATCCATTCGCGACATGATATATATGATATACGATAATATGCCACCCAAGATGGCGGACCGGAAGCTGGCCAGTGACGTCACTGAAAACCCCCTATTCAGCAGCAATTTCATGGGTCTGACAGGAAGAGAGTTATCTGTTAATCTCATGGTGAAAGAGTCCGTTTGGAGTCACACATCAGTATATAGTAAGCAGGACGGACTGCTGCAGCAATAAAAAAAAAAATGAATGAAACATTAAAAAATATAAAACTTTCCCCATTACAGAAGTTCAGGAGGACAGAAATGGATGAAGTCATGATCCTCCGAGCCTCACAGAAACCAAAATAAGGAGGGTCAGACAGAGCAGGTAAATGCAGCGTATCTCTCACCTCTTTATGAAAAAAAACTTGGATAAACTTCCCAGATCTCTCTGAGAATCACCTCTCTGCCTCAGTCAGCATAGAAACCCTCCCACAGCGTTTATTTATATGTTTTTCTTTTCTTTTCTTAAGACGTAGATCTCATTAACTTTTTAATTTAATTTTTAATATGTGTATAGCCAAGAGACATAACAGAAAAATATCTGCCCATCCTGCCTAGTCGGAGCCGCAGTCAGTGTAACACGGAAGAAAAAATAAAATCAGACTGGGTTAAAGGTTAAAAAGCTGTAAGCAACCGGTGTGGGAATACCTTAAATTCATAGGAAAGCGGCTGTTCCAACTGTTGAATTTCGGGAATTCTCCTGAAGGGTGAATGAAGTGGATGTGATTGGTAGTTTATCAAGGGGGCGGGATTGTTGTGGTGAAAGGTTAGCAAGCAAGTTTGATTGTGGCCGGTTTCTCTGAAGCATGTCGATTAACCAGTTAGCAACTTAGTGCTAGCAGGTTCCCAAATGGGAATTTCCATTGGGACCAAGTAGCACTAAAGTGGTGACTTAGAAACGCCACTGTCAAGGAACGCTATGGACAGAGGAAACATGCAAGAGGAGGAGAGTTTAGTGTCGGAGGTCGTGGATGAGTCTCCTTAGTCATACATTTTTTTATTTAGAGGAGGAAAGCTGTTGCGGAAGAGGATGCCAGGGCGGCAGAAGCTTGGTTTGGTGTAGAAGGCTTCCAGCCGTACATGTTTGAGCCCTTGCCTCGCAACGCTGCCAGTTCTGTTAGCTCTACGCCTGCTGAAGACACAGACGTCCATCCCCGTGAACACTGGGACGGAACTCAATGGGAAAGGAAATTATTCTGATTTCAACCGTTGCGTATATTATGACTCCATTCTGGAGAGAAATATCAGCTGTTCTGCTGCCATTAACACCTTTGTATATAGATGTTTGAGATGGGCCTGTTTTTCAGTGTAGTCCTGTTTCTCTGACTGTGACTAACTGGATGTGCTCTCTTCACCCACTGACATGGGATCTGGCTCGGAGCTCGTCTGCCTGGCTGTGTTTCCTGTACGGGGCCGCCTTTTACTGTTGCCTTTTGTGTCTCTGCTTCTGTTTCCTTGAACCCCAGTCGGCCTCAGCAGATGGCCGCTCACACTGAGCTGCTGGGGGTGTTTTCCTCTCCACTGGAAGCATGCTTAGTGTAAGGGATTGCATCCAAGCCAAAGAAGCGATGCAATCAACTGGTTTTCCTTAGATAGAAAACTTTGAATCAATCTGACTGGATGATCTGGTGAACTGTAAAGTGCCTTGAGATCACATGTGTTGTGAATTTGCGCTATAGAAATAAACTGAATTGAATATTAGCCGCAACATTTGAATCAAGACGCTATGACCTAAAAAATTTGATTGACAGATGACCGTTGATATATGATTGGCTGAATTTAGATGTACAAGATGACGTATAACTAACTGGCCTGCATAAGATAGCGAAAAAAACAAAAACAAACACAGATTTTAAGACAGGATTTGTTTTTAAAAGAAATTTTCTAATGTTTGTGAAAGTATGTCCTGAAAAAGAGTACTATCTATATGCATGTTTAAGCCAGAATGGTTTGATATTTAAATCAGAGTTTCCTACAACTTTAAAGGGAACGTCAGGTGTTACTATGTTTGAGCAAAAATGGCCGCTCCCAGACTCTGTGATCGTACTGAAAATGATTGTTTATAATTTTTACTGATTAACGATAAATTCAGTAAATCACCGCAAACGTGTTCACTTTAGGTATAAATAATGATCCATTGATTATTCCTTGCTGACAGGACTTCTCCTTTCATACTATTTCTTCACCACTACTATATCACAAAAAACATATATGCATCTTCTTTGTTGCTAAACACCTTCATCTGGCTGGTGCATTATCATTTAACCATGAGCGACCTCAAAATTATTTCCTTGAATGCCAAGGCGGATCGGCCATGTTGTAAAAAGACAGAAGATTATCACTTTCTGAAGAGGGAGAATGCACAAATTGCGCTCCTACAAGAAATACACCTGACAGATTTGGAAAGTGAAAAATGAAGGAGAAGTTGGACAGGACAGTGTTCTATTCATCCTTCAAATTAAAATCAGACACTTACAATCTGGAGCTTGATGGTCTTCCCGTCCAGTTCTATGGTCCGGATCTTAAAGTCCACACCGATCGTGCTGATGTAGCTTTCTGTGTACGTGTCATCCTGCAGAAAGAGAGAGATAGATAGAGATGGAGAGATAGAGATATAGATAGAGAGATAGATGGATGGAGACAGATGGAGATGGATAGAGAGAGAAGTTATAGATAAGCAGATTCACATAGCCTGGTAGCAGTAGCGCTCTCTGAAACACGCTCTGGAGGAAGACAGGATGGAAACTCACCGCAAACCGCAGGAGAAGGCAAGACTTTCCTACACCAGAGTCACCGATGAGGAGGAGCTTAAATAAATAGTCACTGTTGAGAGAGGAGAAGGTTAGAAGAGCACGCCACACTACTTCTGCAGACCAGGACTAAACAAGGCTAAAGCCAATCCGGTGAAACTTAGAACCAGAACCACAGTCCTGCTCAGTGGACACGGGTCACATCAGGCTGGTCTCTGAACCTTCCTCCAAGTCTGAAACGGTTGGTTCTGAAGCTGAACCCAAAGCCTGGCTCTGACGTGGTTCTACTGATCAGCATCCTAAACTTCCTCATCAGCTCCAGCCAAAGACTGGGGCTTTAGTAAGCCTACGAGTTGTCGGTTTCTCTCTATTGGTCCCGTCAGTTCTGCTGCTGCAGGGGTACCATGATCTCCAACCTACAAAACCAATGAACCCAAAGCAGCTGCTCATCTTCCCTGATGTCCATCAAAACACGACCGGCCCGGTCCTATGGGTCGGACACTGACTGAAAGACACAGAACGGAACCAGCACCTGCCCTTCAGAGATCATCTCGTTCCCTGGCTGACCTGAGCAAGATGGCGGCGTTCAGCAGTCGGCGTAAATGTCTGTTGGCCTCTTGGGACAGCTGCTTTAACAGGACAAATACAAACACAACTCTCCATTAAACATGGGAACCGCTTTCTACCTGGTTCCCCTTCAGCTGAGGCTCAGAACACCATGCTATAGAACCTGAACCAAACAACGTCTGGGTTTAAACAGAACCCTTCACAGCTGGGTCAGTGTCAAGTAGCATATAGATCATTATCTGTACCCAAAACTAATACGTACGTGGTTAATTTAGCGTTACTTTTAATGAATTTAGCAGTAATCAGTAAAAAAAATTAAGGTAATAATTATATTACTGGGAGAAGCCTTTTTTTCCCCCCAAATACAGTAACACCTCAGTCCTGCCATCTTCCAGCAGTGACGTCACGGTGCGGTAAGCCTAGCGCCATTCTCCCCGATTTACAAGCAAAGTCAATGAGAACTACTAGACACATCTGCAATCAACAACAATTAACAAAAAATCCCAGTGAACACTGGGACGGAACTCAATGGGAAAGGAAATGATTCTGATTTCAACCGTTGCGTATATTATGACTCCATCCTGGAGAGAAATATCAGCTGTTCTGCTGCCATGAACTCTGGGACGGAACTCAGTGGGAAAATAAAAGATTTTTATTTCAACGGTAGCTTATACTATCTGCAACATATGAATCAAGATGCAGTGACTGAAAACATTTGATTGACTGTTGATATATGATTGGCAGAATTTAGGTGTTCAGGCTGACGTATAACTAACTGGCCTGCATAAGATAACAGAAGAAAAAACCCCTACAGGATTTAAGACAGGATTTATTTTCAAAATACAAATTTTCTACATTTTGGGACACTAAGTTCTGATAGGGAGTACATTTATATACAAGTTTAAGCCAGAATTATTTGACATTTAAATATGACTACCCTACAACTTTAAACTATTCCTGGACAGAATCTTCCATCATCATCATCCTGAGAGGAAGCTCAGACAGGAAGCTGGTCTGATTACCCAACCGAGCTGTGGAGAAATCCAGGGCTGGTCCTGCAGCATGTGACCCACACATGACTGGGCTGCTGAGGACCGAGCCGGCCCGGAAGCAAAGGACCGCTCCAAGATAACAGAGGAGATCCCAGGACCCGATCCGATTCAGAACTGTTCTGATGCTAGAACCGGGTCAGCAGAACCTGAACACAGAAATATGACCTGGTCCAGATTGACCCAAGTACTGAACACGACGAGAACCTTCACGTTTTCACAGCAGATGTGGTTCTTCCGGGCCAAAACAAAACCTCAGGGTTCTCTTCCGGTTCTGTCCAGGTTTATTATTATTATAAACATTCAAAGGACAGAAAATAAATCCCCTGAACAGAACTTGATCGTGCTGCTTGGTTTCCTTCTATACCCTAACCTGGTCACTGGTCCTAATCCACAAACTGAACCAAAATCTCCAACTGGGGTTCTGAGATACCCGGTCCTGGTTCTGCCAGGCTCTCTTGGGCCGAACCAGAGCCTAACTGTTCAGCTGATCTGGGTTTGGGGCGGACAGAAGCTCCCCGCTGCGGCCCTTCCTCCCTGACCGGTACCACACAGAGAAACCGGGCTCAGGTGGGTCTGATGGTGTCCGTTAAGCAGGCCTGGCTAACCTGTTAGCGCGGGGCTAAGCCCTGCTGGTACACTTACTACTCAGGGTTCATCGTGGCGTCTCCGTCCGCGGACTGTCAACCAGGGAAAAACGGGGAAGACGACCAGCTTGTTCTGCTCCTGAAGGCTCGACCCGACTGCCCGCGGTCTCTGTGAAAATCCAAAATGGCCGCAGTTGCAACCAGGAAACGGTCCTAACCAGTCAGCAGCTGGGCCTTGCGGGCGAAGAGGACACCGCTGAATGCGTGGTTCGGTTAAAGCGGGGCCGAGGCTACGTGCCGGAGGCTTCGGAACCGAGCTGAGACACCGGCGACTGATAGAGGAGCTGTGAGTGCAGCGGCCCGAGCGGACAGATTACATCATTTAGTGAGACGTGGCAAAGCAGAGTCAAACTACACGTCTCACACTATTTCCGGTGTAGGTACCAGATTGACTCGGGCTGCCAGATTGACTCGGGGGCCTGCGCCTTTTGATGACGTCACAATACATAATTGTTTTAACGTTTGCACAATTGCGCAAAACATTTTGATTGGTCTGGACAGCTTACTAAAGTAATTATAGCGGGGTGTAGGTTTTATTCGAAAGCGGGATTGCTGTTTGTAAACGGACAATTTTACGAAGACATTCTCCATGGTCCCTGCGCCTTCTGATGACGTCACCGAATTCGCCATGGGCCTTGCGCCTCCCGATGACGTGACATTATTGCAATGCCACTCAAACAAACTACATTGAGCCCGCGGTCTGCATTTGTAACGAGAATAAATTCAGGAGAATGAAGCTAAAGGGATACAAAAAATAAACTTGTAATATTACAAAACCAAAAATACTACGAATACAAAGTATATTCAGAGATTAAAGTCCCTCTGATACTGTTTAAGTGACTGAGAAACTGCAGATTTGCCACATTTAAGATGGCGGACGCTCTGACGCATCTCAAAAGGCGCAGGCCCCCGAGTCAATCTGGCAGCCCGAGTCAATCTGGTACCTACACCGGTTATGGACTTCAACCTAAAGCTCCGCGACTCTTCTTCTTCTTCTGAGGGTAACAGTCCACCAGGCTGGTGCGACGCTTCCTGGACCTTCAGAGGGAAAAACTGTTGGCCAAGGAGAGGAGCCTCTTTCAGGAAAGAAATAGAAAAATGGCAAAAAAGGTGGAATGAAGATTAAAAAAAAAGGAAGAAGATTATATAAAGTACAACAATGAGAGAAACCGAAGGGAAGAAATAATAATGATCAGATTAAGAGGAGGTCATACTTATTTAAATGACAATTTATATTTAATAGGGAGGAAAAATAATGATAAATGTAAAGGATGTGGAGAGATAGAAAATGTAGAACACGTATTGATGAACTGTAAAACATATTAACCTGAAAGGGAGAAGACAAGTGACAAGAGTGGAGTCTTACAGGATTGTTGGGAAATAAAGGAAATATAAAGGATATTTATAGAATAAGGAAAGCATGATTTATTTATCTTCAGAATACAAAATAAAAAAAATAGAATTTAATAGATGTAAAACAATGTTGCTACACACTCATGAACAGTAGGTGGCGGTATGCACCTTAAAGTTGCTTGCGATCCGCCATGATAGAGAAGAAGAAGATTTTGATTTTTAACAAAACATTTATTTAAAAATGTTTTAACAACAAACAGTTAAAAAAACTCAGGTCATCAGGACATCATTATAAAAGCATCTTGTTATATTTCAGCTCTCCTGAGTCAGAAATGGTGCACAACACAGGTGTAGAATAAAAAAAAAAAAAAAAAACCTTCAAATCCCAGTGGCTCTGTGGAAGCAGAACTCCAGCTTCAACCTGGCTTTGATGTATGGAGCAATGGACTGGATGGATGAAATAATGTTTATTTGGAGAGAAAACATTGTTATCATCAGTCACAGTCCATTTTATAGGCTAAATTCAAATTCTAAGTTTTACTTTCATTATGTTTGTTTTTTTCTTTTATGTAATCCTTGTTTAAAAATAAAAAAATAAAACGAGAACTGAAAAAAATGTAATACTAAATCCCAACACTTAGATAGATAGATAGATAGATAGATAGATAGATAGATAGATAGATAGATAGATAGATAGATAGATAGATAGATAGATAGATAGATAGATAGATAGACAGACAGACAGACAGACAGACAGACAGACAGACTTTATTCCGGACTCATGGTCCAATAAATACATAAGAATAAAAAAAATATATATATAGTTAATGATAAAAACACAATACAAGTACCATTATGGATTAAATAGGATCTTTAAGAAGACAGGAATACCAGTGTCTCCACAGCTTAGACTGATATCGGATTGCACTACGTGTGGTATCAGTAAGTGACAAAATAATATCGTTTTCAGATGCATTTAACCTACAAATAAACTTATACATTAACTTTCGTAGAACAGCTTGTAGGGTATTAACTCTTGCTGTGACAAACATCTCACTTGCACTGGACCATCTTGGACGTTTCAAAAGTAACCGCATAGCATCATTATAGGCCACCTGCAGCCTTTGCAGGTTGACTTTTCTATAGGTAGTCCACAGGTGAGCAGTGTACAGAGAGGTACAATATGCATTAAACAGTTCCACTTTGACTTTATCAGTACATGAACCGAATTTACGTGCAAGGGTATTAGCTTGAGCGTACACCAATCTACATTGTCTGCAAATATCATCATCGTCTGACAGATTTTCTGTGATGATGTGCCCAAGATACTTGGTTTTATTTGTTACGCCCAGCACAGTATTTGACAGCAAAAAATCTGGAAACTCAGTAGATTTATCTTCCTTACTCCTACAGATCATGATCACACTTTTAGATGGATTGTACTTTATGTCGTGTTCCAGACCATACTCAGAGCAGATGTTTAGTAGTTGCTGTAACCCAGCAGTACTAGGGCTAAATACTAAATCATCTGCATACATCAGGTGATTAAGTACCGAGTCACCAGCCACACAACCAGTGTGACAAGCTCTCAACTTGTGTGACAGTTCATCCAGATACAAGTTAAAGAGAACTGGGGACAAAATCCCGCCCTGCCTCACCCCATTACTGACTTTGAATGGAGCCGAGACACATTCCCCCCCATTTAATCTGCAGTGTTTGCTGAGTATACCAGTACTTCAAAATACGAACAATATACTCTGGTACTCCGTTTTGTGTCAGTTTTGTGAATAGTTTTCTGTGGTTTACCCTATCAAATGCTTTTGATGCATCCAGGAAACACATAAACAATGAAGAGTTCTGCTTATTATATTTATAAGTAATCTCTTTTAGAGCATATACACATATCTGTGCCCAGCCTAGCCTTAAAACCAAACTGGTTATCTGTAGACTTGATAACCTCTAAAATCCTGTCCAGCAGGATTGATTCAATAATTTTTGAAACTATGCTGGCCAGCGCTATCGGACGGTAATTATCAGAATTGCCAATGTTTCCAGTTTTATCTTTAATGACGGGTACTAACAGGACACTTAAAATAGAGTCAGGTAAAAGACCATGAATAAAAAACGATGTGAAACAAATGGAAAGCAGAGAAGCTAGCCTTGCATTTGCATACTTTAAATGCTCAGCTGAGACTCCATCCAGCCCAGTGGCTTTATTGTTAGATAATTTGGAAATAGCTTTATGAACCTCATAAGGCAGGATTTCATCTATATGGTCAACATTATTTGCAGTGCATGGTTCACTATGGATGCAATTAAATAATCTGCTGTAATGTTGGCGCCACAGCTCCACAATGTTAGCAGTGCCTGATATGCCATCAACCGAACATGGGAGGGATGTTTTGTAGGATGTCATACCTCTAACTTCTTTCCAGAAGCCTTGGGTATTGTTACAGAAGAGTTTTCTGGCCATTGAGTCAGACCTCATTGCTCTTTCATTTTTACCAATATAACGCACAGCATACTTATATTGGACATTGGTATACTTTTTATGTTCAAAGACAGGCCCTGATCTTGGTCTACCTGCCTCAATCCATTCCTTAGAAGCCTCTCTAGCTCTATTAAAAAATTCAACCACGTGGGTATTCCAACCTGGCCTGATCTTATTTTTTTTGTTTTTTATTTTTTTATGAAAGTGTTTAGTTGATGCAATCAAAACATTAACTATTTCATTATACACAGAACAAATGGATCTAATGTGCTCAGAATTTTTACAATTAGCATCTCTACAGCTAACTGCTTCTCTGGGCAAGTAGATATTCCTGAGTGAGTTATCTGTGCACATAGAATAAGATAGCAGATCCTCCTTTGACAGTGAGTATGGTTGTTTTTTTAACTGTACACAGTCTTCCCTTCTTACAGCTTGTCACCTCGGCTCTTGAACAACTCATTTTCCCTTTGGGAAAAACTTGTAACCATAACTGCTGCTCCTGAAAAGCCTTTAACATGAATGTTACATCTTGAATATGTATGCTAATACCACATGTTAAATATCTGAAGTAAGAATAAAACTAGAAAATACAAGTAAGATGGTGTTAGTCTGTTCTTATTTGTTTTTCTTTCCAGCATTATTTCAAAGCTATTGCCCAAAATTTCTTCTAGCCTTAAGATGACATGGAGCATCTACCTGCAGGTTTACATGCGCCAGATAAAAACATACACCTTATATCTCCCAGTATGAACTTAAATAAGACCAAATATCTCTATTTTTACGTCAGTTATAATTACTAAAATAATTTCAGTTTTTAAAGGTTTATTTATTAATGTGTTCAAAAGCAGAGGTTTACATACAAACAATGAGGGAAGACTCAGATGATAATGTCATAGTTTGGAAAATTCTGATACGTCATCCGAGAGATTTGGGTTAACTGGAATGGGGCTGCAAGAATTATCTGATTAATCGTGATCGATTGATTAATAAAATAATCGTCAACTAATTTTGTAATCAATAATTCATTAACCAGACTCTAAAACATGAAAAAAACAGCCTGGTCAAAAGTGTTTTACATTTTGGATTTGAAAAACCATCCTTGTCTGTAAAATATGCTCTATCCTGAGCTTCACAAATGGCGATTTTAGGATTTTAGTAATTAGTTATAGTTACTTCTCCCAAAAAGTAACTGAGTTACAAACTGAGTTACTCCACAATAAATGTAACTAGTTACTAGTAAAAGTAACTATGACTCATGCTGGGCTGAACCATACGTTCAGGCATGGGGGTGCTGGAGGAAGAAGGAGTCACGCCCGGCTGTTGAGGTTGGCCAGATGTGGGATTTTGGATTACTTGAAGAATCACTTTGATTACTTTCAGCGTTTTCTACAACCCTCTGATTGATATGCCCTCCTTGCTTCTGAACCTGACCCTCTGTAGGATTAGGGGGGAGTAAGGACTAATTTTCATGCGACACTGATTGAGAGACAGAAACGTTTAATTCTTGGATCGCTTGTTCTAATGAG